AACTTGGAAACTAAGCAAAAGTATTCAGAAAAACATTAAAGTCCCAACATCCAGAGGTAATACTGCTGACATTCTGGTGCATTTTTTCTAGTCTTTTTTCTACACATACACATGTGCCCATGTTTCATTGTCCTTATCATTAATGTGTGTGTTTTTTACAAAATTGGGATCATACTCTAAACGTAGTTTGGTACCCTGCTTCATTCTCTTAATATTTGATCACGAGCATTTTCTCCTGTCCCTAAATATGCTTCCACTAAAAATGTTTAATGGCTGCATGACATTCCATGTGTTAGAAGTCTCATATTGCTGAGCACGTCTTTGTTTCCCATCTTTTTTTATTTTTTAAGGTATAATTTACATACAGTAAAATGCACCCTGTTTAGTGTATAAGTTGGCAAATGCGCATACGTCATGTAACCACCACCACAAACAAGATATAGAACTGTCCCCTCACTCTCCAGATTTCTGCCTGGTCCTCTGTAATCAACCCCTCCTTGTATTTCCAGCCCCTGGAAACCACTGATCTGTCTTGTTTCCATAGTTTTGCCTTTTCCAGAATGTCATATGAATGGAATCATACAACATGTAGCTTTTTGAAATTGTCTTATCTTTCACTTCACATAATTCGTCTGAGATCCATCCACGTGGTTTCATGGATCAGTTTGTTACTACTTATTGTGGGTAGTTTACATTGAATGAATTTATCATGGTTTGTTAGTCCAAGTGAAGGATATTTGGGTTGTTTCTAGTTTTTGATTACAAATAAATGTGTTGTAAACATTCAAGTACAGGATTTGTGTAAACATAATTTTTCATTTCACTATCCAATTATTTTTTATAATATTGTAATGTTGCAAATGTCACAGTAATGAGGATTCTAAATCTTTTATCCCATTAAAGGAGGTAATGGCATCAGCTTAAATTTTTTTTTTTTAAATAAATTTATTTTATTTTTGGCTGAGTTGGGTCTTCGTTGCTGTGCGCAGGCTTTCTCTAGTTGTGGCGAGTGGGGGCTACTCTTCGTTGCAGTGCACGGGCTTCTTGTCACAATGGCTTCTCTTGTTGTGGAGCACAGGCTCGAGGCCTGCGGGCTTCAGTAGTTGTGGCTCATGGGCTCTAGAGCACAGGCTCAGTAGTTGTTGCGCATGGGCTTAGTTGCTCTGCGGCACGTGGGATCTTCCCGGACCAGGGCTCAGATCCGTGTCCCCTGCATTGGCAGGCAGATTCTTAACCACTGCACCACCAGGGAAGTCCTAAATTTCTATTTTTAAAAAATCAATCAAGGGGCTTGTGCAGCGGGCAAGCAGACCCAAGTTCAGTTTGGTAACAAGTGCACTGCCTGAGCATATATGGATTGGTGGAAATCAGATAAGACTGGGAATTCCCTGGTGGCCCAGTGGGTAAGACTCCGCGCTCCCAATGCAGATCCCTGGTCGGGGAACTAGATCCCGCATGTATGCCACAACTAAGAAGCCCGCATGCTGCAACTAAAAGATCCTGCAGGCCGCAACTAAAGATCCCACGTGCTGCAACTAAGACCCGGCACAGCCAAAATTAATTAATTAATTAATTAATTTTAAAAAAAGCAGATAAGGTTGCTCATGATTCCATGAGCTCATTTTCAAAAGTATCTGACCTGTACAGAAATGGCATGTCTGAGAGAGTGTTCACTTTGTAAGTTGCCTGCCATTCCAGTTCTACAAGGATCAAGCCAATAGCCACTGCAGTCACCCACTGACAGTGTACCTGAGGGCAATTCAGGATGGTGGAAAACAGGAATCATTCTGTCCTTTGGATACTGGCCCTGAGATAGTTAAGATACACAACTAAGGAAAAATTTCAGTAACCCCAGATTCTTGTATCTTCCCATACAGAGAAAAGCACTAAAATCATTGACTTGAGATGTCTGTTTTTGTGATTCCCAGTAATCTTTTGACGTTCAACTACATGTTTTTTTTCAGCTCCCCCTCCCCCAAATTCATATACATCCTGGCTCCTCCCTCACCTCTTTGGAATAGTACATCAAGGCTATCTGAAAGGCTGTCTCCTGGGTTAGAGTCCTCAGGAAGACACTGAATAAATTCAGCTCTTACATTGTGTGTGTGTGTGTGTGTGTGTGTGTGTGTGTTGTTTTTTTTTAAGTCAGCAATTTGTTTTCTTTTCAGCACTAACTAAAGTCCACCAGGGCAAGGATGAGATCTGTGCTTATTCTCACTTCGTGATTCATCATATGACTATGTAAGCATGTCTGGTTTTTCCTAGAGTGGCACTTGGCTTTCAGCAAGCTCCCGTCCGACTGGATGGACTAAATAAACTAAATGTTGTCTCACTTGGCCAGAGCCACACCAGGATATCCCTATAAGACACAGATGGCAAGGACAGTACCCAGAGGGCAACGTGGGCCTGCCTGTTGGCTGGGCCCTTCTTTCGAAGCTCTTCTGTGTTCTATTATGCTGAGATCTGAAGCAATGAATTTCTGCCTACCCTCCTTTGAGAGCAAGAGGATTTCCTATCCTCTTCAGGATTTGGTATTACTAGATTTTGCTTCTACTCCTGGCAGCAATGGATCTTTGCTTGTAGCCTGAGGGAGAGTGAATTTGCTCCTTTTGCTTTCTAAGAGAGAAGGGAAGCAGGTGGGGTTTTGTGCCCATCCCCCAAAAGTTGGATGCCTGCCCTACCAAGGGGTTTCTCTCTAATGTCAGAGATCTCTGTCTCCATCTTTCTCATGAAGAAAGATTTCTGATGGAGGTTTACGGAAAAGAGCTTGTGAATGAATGTAAACTCTTCCCGTTTCTGAGGCTCCTAGCTATTCCAAATTGACATGCTAGCCCATGCTTGGCCTCTAAGAATTCATTAAAATTTTAACTGATTTCCTCTTGCCCACTTGTACGGCAGCCACCTCTTTCCCCTGTGCTTTGCCAAAGGTGAAAGAGCTCTTTGTTCCAAGTGTGTTTGGAGAGGCTAGGCTCTCTTTGGAATTCAGTTTACTTGGTTGCTTTGCTCTCAGCTCTCTGATGGGCTCAAGAGAAGTTATGATTTTAAAGGTTATCCAGCCTTTTCTCATTATTATGTTAGGAGTGACGTTCTTTGCAGCTTTCTATATTCTAAGCCCATTCCACGGATCCTTACTGAATGCATACTATGTGCCAGGCTTTGCTCTAGGTGCTGGGGATAGAGAGGTAGATGCAATACGTCTGATGTCAAAAAATGTATATTCAGTTGAGGGGAGTATTACACATTATGGCATTAGGTGATAATAAGTTCTATGAAGAACGCTTAAGCATATGATAGAAAAGGGAAAGATGGGTGTACAAATGGTATTTTTTTGGGGGGGTGTCCCCTTATGCCCCAACTAGTGTAGATACTGTCTACACTTCATTGCACTTTTTTTCTTCTTCTCAGGGATTTCTATACGGAAGACTGGAGTAGACAATATCCTGAATCTGATATATAACTTGGTAAGAAGATTTCAACTCCAAATAGTAAATGGGACCATCATTCCCATTCCCATCAGAAAGCACAGGACTCATAAACATGCCAGGTATTCTGTGTAGGGTCAAACCCGTACCTAGGGACACAAAGTACAGGGATATGTGTATATATATGTGTGTATATATATATACACACATATATATAATTTTTTTTTTTCCAGTACGCGGGCCTCTCACTGCTGTGGCCTCTCCCGTTGCGGAGCACAGGCTCCGGAAGCGCAGGCTCAGCGGCCATGGCTCACGGGCCCAGCCGCTCCGTGGCATGTGGGATCTCCCCAGACCGGGGCATGAACCCGTGTCCCCTGCATCGGTAGGTGGACTCTCAACCACTGCGCCACCAGGGAAGCCCGGTATGTATATACTTTGACTCAATACAAGGCAGAACTTTCAGTCACAGCTGAAACTTACTGTAAAAGTAACTTACTGTTCTGGAAGGTAATACATTTCCCTTCCTTGGAATAGTTCCAACCCTGCGAGCTTCCAACTTCCCTGAGGGCATCTAACCAGACAGGTTGAAAGACCACTGCCAAAGCCTTTCCCAGGGTTTCACTGGGAAGCTGCTCTCCTATACTGCTCAGCACTGATTCCCCATCTCTCACCCCACTGTACAGAGGAGCAAACCCAGCTTTAGAGGCGTGATCTGACCAAGGTCACAGAGCTGGGAAGGAGCTGGCTGGAGTGAGCTTGGAGCCAAGGTGCTGCATTTGACTCCAAAACCTGTCATCCTTCCCCTGACCCGCGGAACCTCAGGTGACACCTAGTGGCTCCACACCCACTAACGCAAAACAGGCACCTTTCTCCAAGCGTTTTAAACCCTCCAGCTAATAATGTCAGCCGAAGGGCAGGAAAGGGCCAGCTTCTTTTCTCGTCTATATTCATCAGCTTTGACTGAGCGCCTTTTGCCTCAGGAGAACTGCTGACTCTCTCACTGACATAACCCAAACTGATCCTTTTCGCCATAGGACGCTTCCCACCAGGGCTCAGGCGACTAGCGAAAATCCGGCACCTGGACTGAGTCCTCGGGTGTGGGGAGCCGGCGGGGAGGCCCTTGCCCCGCAAGTTTCCTCCTGTGCCACTTGGAGTGACAGGTTCTGCCGCTCTCACAGGGAGGAGGTGAGAGGACCTTGGCCGAGGAAGCAGTCCGTCAGCCGAAGCGGCGGTGGCTCGACCAGCCGTGCGCGCAGGCACAAACCCGACCCGGACCGGGCTTCGCCACGCACTGCCGGGAGTGGAGGCCCGGCGGAGGCCTGGAGGGGGCGCGCGAGCCTCCTGCGTAGGGACCGGGGCGGGGCCTGAGTGGGCGGAGCCAGTGGCACGGTTAAGCGAGGGCCGCGCGGGAGAGTGGCGCGTGCGCTCCGGAAGTGGGCGGGGACATCGAGAGGCCCGGTCTGATCGTCACGGGCAGCCCCGCCCTTCGGCCATCGTCTACCTCCCGGAGGCGGCAACCGCTCCTGCTCTACCCTTCCCGGTTGGCGGGGGCGTCTGCGCCTCGTTTCTTTGGTGACCATGGGGGACCCCAGCAAGCAGGACATCCTGACCATCTTCAAGCGCCTCCGGTCGGTGCCCACCAACAAGGTAACGGCCGCCGGGCGTGTTCAGGCTTGCTTGGCATCCCTGCCGGACCCTACGGGAGGCCCCTGCGGCGCCAGTGGCCGCGGCCGCGGCCGCGGGAGGAGGAGCCGGCCCGGCCTGTGACACGTCGCACTGTGCGGCTGCAGCGGCTGGGCCTCGCCTGGGTCCGGACTGTGCGCCGCCCCGCAGCTTCAGCAAGGGAGGGGCGGAGTAAGGGGCGCTCCCCAGGGTCCGAGGCAGGGCGGGCACCTGGGAGTCCTGGGGGCGGGAGGCGAGAGCATCTGGGGGTCCCGGGGGCGGACACTTGTGGGCTCCTAACACCGGGCCGGGGAACTTACGGGGGGCGGAGGCAGCTTTTGGTGGGGGCGGAGTGGACACGAGTTCCTGAGAGAGCTGGGGGCGAGCTCGGGGGCCCGAGAGAGGGCTAGGGGGCTTACCCGCGGCTCCTGCGAGTGGGGGCGGAGACCACAGGCCACCTGTGACCCAGCCGGGAAGCATGCGCCGGGCCAGAAACTCCAGCTGGTAGCGCTGGGCGCTCGGGGAAGCTCGGCTCGCCCCCTCCCCGCCTCCGCGCTCACCTCTGAAGCTCCTCAGGAAAGCTGTGTCCTCTGGTGGCAGCCTGTTTCCCTGTCTGATAAAGCTGCTAAGTGGTCACTGCTAAGTGGCTTCGCGCTCTTGTCTCTTGCTAAGAAAGCCCACCACAGACCCCTTTCCCTTCCTTCCCTTTTGTCTCTCTCTTTGGAGATGGGGGTTTTCCTTTTTTTTTTTTTTTTCATCTCCAGAGACTGTCCCTTCCCCCCACCCATGACTCTTACAACTTTTCGCTACTGGCTGGAGATGTTGTGGTGACACATCGGGCTAAAGTGACACCCTCCGCTGAGGATCACAGGTCAGAGTGGAACCTGGACAGTGCAAAGGGCTGTCGTGTCAGCATGGACTCTGTGTGCCATGACATGATGGCATAGAAAGAAAGTCCCAGAGTTTTACAAAACTTAGATGTCTTTGTTTTAGGTCTAGGTGGAGGGGAGCCCATGTTTTTACAGCCTAAGAGAAGTGAGCAAGGAAACAGTTTATAGGAGGTGATATCTGATGAATGTAGGAAAGTCAGGAGGGGAAAGAGGTTCCAGGAATTCCCCAGTGCCGATTTCTTTGCTATTTTCTTGATTTTCAAATTTAGGTTAATCTGTTTATAAAGAGGGGTTGATGTAAACTAGACCAGATTAGGATCTGCAGTTAGCAGTGTAGAAACTATACATTTTTTGGTCTGCTTTATCTCAGAAACCCAACATATATTCTCTTTGACTGAATTCATCAAAAGATGTCCCTTTTAAATAAGAAGTCAGTGTCTTTATACCAAGAACACTTTTGAGGGACATGTGTGGGCTTGCTTGTAAATTGTTATCCAGACCCTGGGACTTCCTGTCACCTTGGGCAGGTTACTTGACTACTTTGTGCCTTATTTTCCTCATCTGAAAATGAGGCATGAACTAGATCTAATTCAGAGAGTTATTGTGAGGATTAAATGAGAAAATCCAAGAAAAGCACTTAGAGCAGTACCTGTATATACTGACCCTCGATATATGTCAGCAATTTTTTGTTGTTATTATTATTTTAATTATGAACAACACACTTGTAGAAAATTTTATATTCTGTAGTAGGATTCATAAAAGCATTGAGCAAAAATATTTTCTGGTAGTGTTCCACAGTATTGTGCTACATTTCTTTTTTTTTTTTTTCTTTTTTTGCGGTACTCGGGCCTCTCACTGTTGTGGCCTCTCCCGTTGCGGAGCACAGGACGCGCAGGCTCAGCGGCCATGGCTCACGGGCCCAGCCGCTCTGCGGTATGTGGGATCTTCCTGGACCGGGGCACAAACCCGTGTCTCCTGCATCGGCAGGCGGACTCTCAACTGCTGCGCCACCAGGGAAGCCCTGTGCTACATTTCTTGATTAAGACTTTTTATTTGATTGTTAATAAGAAACTATTACCTAAGCAAAGATGAAAACTAGTTTTAATGATGTGGAAGAGTTAATAAGCATTTTTAAAATGAGATGGTTAAAAAGAGCTCTAAGACACACAAGACAGGAGAGTACTTAAAGAAAAACACCTCGGTTTACTTTTAGAATGTGGTGTCCAATTCTCCCTGTCATGTGTGATGGATCTTTACTCTGGATCAAAGGTTTTAACTCAAAGGGTCAGTTTTCTAGTCTCTCTCCCTTGTCTCTGCTGTTCCCTTGGTGTTATATTGATTGTTTGAGTTATTCAGCAAATATCGGTTAAGCACCTGCAGCATGCCAGGCACTGCAGAGCACTGAGGATGTACTGATGGAAAAAGAGACAGGCTCCTGCCTTCAGGAAGCAGATGGTCTATCTAGTGCCTGGAGGACAGATAAAGGGCTGCCTGGCGGGGTAAGAGGCAGTGTAGTGAAGGGGTGACGAGTGCGCTCTGGGGCAGACTGCCCGGAGTCCAGTCTCTGTGATACCACGTCTTAAAGCTGTGACACTTAACTTCATGTTTCCTTAGTTTTCTCTAACACGGGGATGAAAACTGGCGCTATATACTCTGCAGGGAACTTGAAATGTGCAAAGTGAACATGCAGGGCCCTTGTTTCAAAAGTACTAAGAATTTCAAGATGAGACAGCAGAGCATTAACCACCCATGGGCGCTTCTGTGTGCAGTGTCCTGTGTGACTGCATCGATCACACACAGGCCCGGAAGCTGGCCCAGATGGGCATAAGAACAGTACCTTCTTATAGGGTTGTTATCAAGATTCCGTTGGCCAACAACAGTGCCTGACATGGAGCAAACACTCAATATTAGCTGTGATTTCTATAGTAATTATTCTCACCATGTAGCAAAACAAATTGTTCGTCCAGAACTACTTTTTATCACCATAAGAACTGATATTCTGCTTCGAAAACCATATCTCCACTTTGGTTTAGGATTGCCCATCAAAACAAAATGGAGTCCCTGCTCCAACAGAGAGTCAGACTTGGATTTCGAACTGCCCTCTGACCTCAGATCCCACAGGGCCCAGTCTCGGCTCGTGAGCTCTTCCACCACCTGTATTTGCATTTGGTGCCTGCTTTGTGCCAGGCTCAGTGCTCAGCACTCAGCTCAGGTGAACAAGGCCCCAGCCCTCACAGAGCTGCATTCTGCAATTCCTCATCTTTTTTTTTTTTTTTCAGGAGAAAGAAGGATTATTTATTTATTTATTTATTTTTGGCTGCCTCGGGTCTTCCTTTGCTGCGTGCGGGTTTTCTCTAGTTGTGGCGAGCGGTGCATGGGCTTCCCATTGCGGTGGTTTCTATTGTTGCAGAGCACGGGCTCTAGGCACGCGGGCTTCAGTAGTTGTGGCATGTGGGCTTAGTAGTTGTGGCTCATGGGCTCTAGCACGCAGGCTCAGTAGCTGTGGCGCATGGGCTTAGTTGCTCCACGGCATGTGGGATCTTCCCGGACCAGGGCTCGAATCCGTGTCTCCTGCATTGTGGAATGGATTCTTAACTACTGCACCACCAGGGGAGTCCAGAAATGGATTTACTTAGAGAGATATATATTCTGTAGACTGAATGTGGTCTGTCTCAAAAGGCGAGAATGGCCTTGGGAGAAACACACTCCAGACAAGAGTGTGGGCCATCTCGGAAGGCGAGAGGCCTGCATTCCTCATCTTAGTTGGTGGGTCAGGAGGATTCTGAGGCCACTTGTTAGAAACCCCGCTGCTGTCTTTTCGTATAACCAGCCTTGCGACCACCTTGGGAGTGATTCTCAGACTTGCCTGCTCTGGGCTGTGTGCCCCCAACCTCTGGGTCATGTCCCTGAACAGGGCCATTTCCTGCACAGGCTTTTGCCCCTTCTGCCCTTTTAGACTCTATTCTTGACATCCCACATGCCACTTGGACCCTGTCTAGAAAACTTTTTGCATCCTGTCCTTGCTTACTAAGGTTCAACATTATAACTAGTTGCCTTGCCCGCTGGGACTGCTAGACTGTGGGCTCCATGCGGGCTGACTCTTCCCGGGCCACCTTTGTACGTGCACTCTGTGTGTGCCGGGGGCGTACTGATAGTGACAGCTGTTAGCTAAGTGAGTGAGGGATCACAGTGGCCTCTTGCAGAGGGCCGGCACCTTTGGCAGAGTCGGACCCACTGTTTGGCATCCCAGGGGTGGGCATTCCTTACTCTCATGGCTGTTACCACAGGGCATCTTCATTTCCGTGTCCTTTACTCCCACTTCAGTGGCCTGTCCAGGGCGGGGGGTAGGGGGAGATGGGGAGACTCAGCAAGCGTTTGTGGAGTCAGTGCCGCCATCCACTTCTTAATATCTCAGCCTCTGCCACAGTGCCTGGCACATAGCAGGCAATCAGTAAACACTGAAGTGAATGCCTGGTGCCTCTCGTGTCAGCTGTCACCCCTCTACTCCTGCCTGCTTATTGTGAACCTGTCACCATGAGGGGCTTTGGAAAATCCACGTGTGTTTTCACGCTTGTATTGTCCTCAAAAGGCCAGAAGCCAGAGCTTGCTTTCCTCGTTTTGTTTTGTTTTGTTTTGTTTTTGGCCACACTGCATGGTATGTGGGATCTTAGTTCCCTGACCAGGCTTTGAACTGCTCCCCCCTGCATTGGAAGCGTGGTGTCTTAACCACTGGACTGCCAGGGAAGTCCCCAGATCTTTCTTGATGGTTTTAGTTGAGACAACCTTCACATAGGTGGCTCTGCCTATAAAGCATACCTAAAAGATGGGGGCTTTTTAAAAACTTTTTTTTTTTTTTTTTTGCGGTACACGGGCCTCTCACTGTTGTGGCCTCTCCTGTTGCGGAGCACAGGCTCCAGACGCTCAGGCTCAGCGGTCGTGGCTCATGGGCCCAGCCGCTCCGCGGCATGTGGGATCCTCCCGGACCGGGGCACAAACCCACGTCCCCTGCATCAGCAGGCGGACTCTCAACCACTGCGCCACCAGGGAAGCATATTCATGGAATTTTTACCACTCTGTTGTGCTGATGTTAATTAATTACAAATATTAATTCCATGACAAGCACTGTGTATTTTAAAGTACTTTTGTGTCCTGTTATCAGATGAAGAATGTTTGACTTCAGTGTTGAGGGGGCTGGTGCTAATTTTTGAGCCGGTAATAAGTTTTATAAGTTGTTCATTTGATTAACATATATTTCCTGAATGCTTTGTATGGGTAGATGACTATTTTTCAGGCTCTGTGGGAGATGAAAAAACACACAGAAAACATTTATTGAGCGTTAGCCACGTCCGAGCTCTGTGCAGATGCAGGCGGAAGGCAAGGGGAGGGAAGGGCCCCCGACGCTGCAGGAGCTCCGAGCTGTGCAGGAGGGGGCCCACTCCTTGGACGTGAGCTGTGTGTCTGAGTAATAACAGTGACCTGGACAGAGTGGAGGGGGCAGAGGTCATGAAGGACACGGCATTTCACGCAGGAACAGCTCTCTCTATTAGCATCTGTTGCGGAGCTCAGCATCTTAAAACAACAAACACAAGTTGTCTCACACAGGTTCTGAGGGCCAGGAATCTGGGGGTGGCTCAGTTAGCTAAAATATAGTTTTATTGTTTCTGGAAAACAATTCAAAACAAGTCTATTATTTGTGGAATTTTTAACTGTCCTGTTGTCCTGGCTCTAATTACTCATAAGTATTCATTTCCACGACAAACACTGTATCCTAAAGTACGTTTGTGCTCCTGTTATCAGGTGAAGAATGTTGACTTTAGTCAGTGCTGAGGAAGGAAGGCTCAGGGCTTCTTAGGAGGCTGCAGTCGCCGAAGGGTGGGACCTCCACTCCAAGCTCACTCACGTGGTGGTCAGCCGGCCTCCGCTCCTCATTGGCTGTTGGACTAAAGGCCTCAGTTCCTCTCCACGTGGCTCTCCCCACTGGGCGACCCAGTGTCCTCAAGACATGGCACCTGGCGTCCCCCAGAGCCAGTGATCCAGGGGGAGAGCGAGAGAGAGAAAGGAAGCCCCAGGGTCTTTTATGACCTCACCCCGGAAGGGACGCGCCAGCACTTCTGCCATATCATTGGTCACACGGGCCTCCTGGGCAAATCGAGGGTGGGGATTACATGAGGGGGTGAGTACCTGGAGGGCAGGATCCAGGGGAGCATCCAGGGGGCTCTCTTCCTCTGGCTGGGGAGAGAAGAAATATGCACAGACGCCTGACATTTGGTAGAGAGCCACTGCCCAGCGGACAGTAAGGCCTTGGGCATTTCCAGCAGGGGACATCCCTGTCTAGTGTTCATTCATGTGAGTGGTAGGAACCCTGTTGATGCTTCATGCATGAGTCATATTTGAGACAATAAACACATCTAAGTTCTCTTCACTACGCATACTACGTACTATTATAATAGATATGCAAAAATATATAACTTATATAATTAATGCATTATATTAATAGTCTATTGACATATAATTATATAATACAGTAACATTATTATAATAAAAGAAATAGAAATTTGAGGTTTTAAAAAAAATCTAGGTGAGATATTTTTCTAATAACCAGTTTGTTTATTATTATTATTATTATTTTTTGCCATACTGTGCAGCTTGTGGGATCTTAGTTCCCCCACCAGGGATTGAACCTGGGCTCTGGCAGTGAAAATGCTGAGTCCTAACCACTGGACTGCCAGGGAATTCCCTCTAATAATCAGTTTAAATTGTAAAGATTAAGCAGCTTTCAAGCCAAATCCTGTATTGTCCTATAGGATGGCTCATTCGGCTAATAAGAATCGATGAATAACTGAATTTTGAAATTTTCTTTCAGGTGTGTTTTGACTGCGGTGCCAAGAATCCCAGCTGGGCCAGCATCACTTACGGGGTGTTCCTGTGCATCGACTGCTCGGGGTCACACCGGTCGCTTGGTGTCCACCTGAGTTTTATTCGGTAAGGGGAACTTTCCTCACTGGGGGTGAGAGTGATTACCTCGTTACGTGGGTCTCTCTCCCCTTTTCCTTTATGTTTGCTTTGACGTCAAGTAAAATGAGAGGTTGGTTATGAGTCATGGAGATTTAAATCTTGTGTAATTGAGTAAACTCGGAAAAGGAATTATTTTCTACTTGGTCGCTGTGCTGTAGAGCTTGGTGTGAGAGGAAGCAGTGTTGAAGCCACAGTCAGAACAGAAGGCTTGAGGCAGCATCTCCTTTTCCTTTCTTGTCTCTGATAATTAGCAGCACACAGGAGTCTTGCTCTGACGCCTCCTGGGGGAAGGGGTCTCTGTCGCTCCTCCAGGTGGAGAGTCACTGCAGGTGGCGGGAGACCCTCGTCATATCAGGGCTGCGCCCCCAGCAAAATCCGGCAGCTCAGCCTCCAACGACACTTATAGCAGAGCCCGAGGGAATGATTTTTGCATGAATTTTAGTGGCAGTTTCAAATGTTTGCAGTGTGAAAGACGTGGGCTGCCTGGGCCCCTCTGGCTAGTCCCTATCTCTGCTCTGACCTCTTGGTAGTAGCCTCTCTGGGGCCTTTGTGGCCATCAGAGAAAGATGCCCCCTCTGGACACAGTCCCACAGTCCAGTAGGAGGCTGGAAGTGCAGGGGCACCCCTGAGCAGTCGTGGCTCAGATCTCTGTATGGCTGGCCTCCCCAGGTCAGCTCACCTGTTTCCCTGCCAGTTCTTTTTCCAGGGAAGGAGCCAGCTAGGCAGGCAGGCTGTTTGAAATCATGGCAAGCAGTTTTATTTTATATTATGACTTAAGGAATACTGATACTACAGTGTGATTACCATAAAGAGCATTTGTTCCTGTAGGGTAAAAATCTGTGATAATTTGTAACGAGATATTTTGTATCCTGGCACAAAAACTGTACAGTAATAATAACAACATAACTTTCTTTTTTTTAAAACATTTATTTATTTATTTTTGGCTGCATTGGGTCTTCGTTGCGGCTTGCGGGCTTCTCGTTGCAGTGGCTTGTCTTGTTGCGGAGCACGGGCTCTAGGTGCACAGGCTCAGTAGTTGTGACTCGCGGGCTCTAGAGCGCAGGCTCAGTAGTTGTGGCGCACGGGCTTAGTTGCTCCGCGGCATGTGGGATCTTCCCGGACCGGGGCTCGAACCCGTGTCCCCTGCATTGGCAGGCAGATTCTTAACCACTGTGCCACCAGGGAAGTCCCCGTAACTTTCTTTTTAATGAACTAACTGAAGAAAACTTTATGTACTTTCCTGAGTTCTTTTTTTCAGAAATCAGTTTATCAAAGCAACATGGGCTAAATGTTCTAGCCATAGAACTCCATAGGTCATGATCTAGAAAAGGGAAGTCTCTTGGGTGTTCTTACTACTTCCAGAATATCTATCAGTTTCCTGTCTTCTTTTCTTTTTTCTTAGATGCTGGACCCAGGATATTTTTAATACACTCTCCTGACCTTGTCTCTTTTTGAAATGTGGAGGGATTTGGTTGCCAGGGCAAGTTTATTCTTCATGTACTCTTTCC